TCCTTCATTATTTCACGAGACGGTTATGATTTTGCAGGTAAACATCTGATTTTGTAATCTCTGACATATTCTCTCATTATTGCGGCATTGAGAAAATATAAATAAGTCTGGTGATTGTAACTGACCTAAAGCAGGAGAAGTTGGTCTGATTTAACTTCAGTTATAAAAAATAAAAAAGGTTTATGTGTATTTTAAGTCGGACACCTTTGACATTTAATCATACTTTTGCAGCAAAGTTTGCAGTCCATGTTGCAGATCATGCATGGTGCATGCGTAGCAGCAGAGCTGAGTCAAGGAACGTCTCCAAAGATTCAGTCGTTTGATTGCGAAATATGTCACAGGAGAGATCATTGTCACCCCACATATTTCCCCTTTTGATAAACACTAATATCTTCAGAAGGTATACAGAAGTTTTAAGTCGCCTTCATTACGCTCACTTCTTTATACTTTGTATTTTTGTTGCACTTCTTAATGTCTTTCTTTTCTCTCCCTTTCAGTCCAGTGCTTGCAAAGGGCCACGGCAGCACATAGAGCCGTGTGCTTGAAAAGGAGGACATGGGGAACAAATTATGTCTTTATAAAGGAGAAAATCCAGCAAAATGCAGAAGTCACAGAACCTGAGAATTGATAATTAATCATGCAAACAGGCGGCTCTTTGGAAATCACCTAGTTGTTGCTAAAAAAAACAATTTTATGAGTCAAACTGTTATCGCTGGTGTTTTTCATAGCATGAACTAAACCCAGAAAAGTGGTTCTCTAGCTCTTTACAAGGAAAACTATCTCACAGCAGCTGGACTTTTTGTATTTGCTATGTATCGTCATATTATTTAAATAGATATCAATTTAAATAACTTTTCCCACTGCATGTTTAAAGTAAAAATGTTCAGGCTCCATGAGGTAAAAGATAAAGGGGAAGCTTCCTTCCTTTCCAAACATGGCCCAAAAATCCATCATGGCTGTCATGTTGCCAGCATGGAGATCGGTGCTGAAATAAATTGTTTATTTGCAATTCCGGCAGTTTTTGTGCATTTAAATCTATCACATTCTTAAATAAATGTGCAACCTTAGTGAGCGTGCTCCTTTAGTGTCTGACTAGACTTTTAGCTTGCACTTGCTAAAAGTAATTAGCCTGGTCACTGACTTCAATAACTAGTAAAACCCCTTTGGTTTCTGAAACGGCAACTATTACGTGGTTTAGCTTAATATTCCCAGAACTAAGTTCTGACTTCAGATATAAATAGAGTCTAGAAACTACACTTTTGATTCACTAAAAGTATTGCAAAATTGGACGTAGTTAGCAAACTACGAACAGCATGTTGACTGCAGGCTAGCCGACAGTCCAACTATTTAGCCGATTTAAATCAGCCCGTCAGATTCTCGGTGTATCCCAACAAAATACAGATTGCCAAAAAACCACCTGGACAGTCGAAACCTTTACTTGAAAATGACAATTACATTTAGAGTATTTTATTCCTCGATTTTAGCTTTAGTTTCTACATCAAAATAACAATAAAAGTTAGAAGCAGCAGGGATAATACTTGCTTTCTGTTCCAAATAAAAGAAATTCCATTATGCGGTTCATTTCGGTGCTAGGTTTGATGTGCATGCTGTTGCGATTTTTATTTAATATACATTGAGTTGCAGGCTGCAAAAAAAAAAAAAAAAAAAAAAAAAAAAAAAAGTTTAAAAAATTACACTTGCAACAGGTTCACATTTAAGTTTCCTGTTTAGAGTCAATGCTGGTTCACAGGAGCCCCTTCATGCCCTGGATGACTCATTAGTCATCCAGGGCAACAGAAAACATTCTTCTGAAAACGGTCAAGAAGAGCTTCAGAAAGCCTGATGAAAAAGATCCATTTTAAAAATCACAGAGAAGTTCATTTAACGGAACGGAAAAGAAAAGGCATGACTCAAATCTCTTGCACATTATTATTTGTGAAGAGAATACAGTGCCATGTAATACACAACTTGAAGCTTTTCACACTTTGTCACATTACAACCGCATACATACATCGACATATTTAACTGAGATTTCATAAGACAGACTGACACAATACATAATCGTTAAGAAGAAGGAAGATGACGGTGTTCATAATTGTTCAGCAAAATCAAATCTGAAAATTTAAGAGTGCATATCAATTCGGCCCCTGTTACTTTTATGCCCCAGATTAAAATCTAACGGCAGCTGTTGCTTTAATTTAATTCATGAGAAAAAGTTTAGCTAAGATGAATTTAATCACAGTATAAGTGCAGTGCTACCATGGAGATTCTGTTAGATAAAGTAAACAAACAAACAGTACCATGAGGCCATTTAGACATTTTAGTTTCCATGCAAAATACAATGCATGTTAGAAAAATAACACAGTACATCACTTTAGCCAAGAAGCTAGAAGCTAGTTCCTCCTGAGGAGCTAATTCGGCTTTATTGACGAGGGGAAACATCTAAAACATACGGGACACCAGCCACTGAGGACTGTAGTGGGACATCCATAGTTTAAACAAAATGCATCCATGTGTTGAACTGGCCTAGTCAAAGTCCCTAACTCAGTTCCACTGAGGCAAGAGTTTAAGCCCAATGTTCAGGTGCTGTCCATGTGATTTTCCGTTTCACTTTCCCACTCTGTGTTGTTCTATCACACAGAATATCACACAGAATATACATTTACACTTAGTTATGACGAAACGTGAAAATATTCAAGGTGTGTGAATATATATATATGTGTTTGTGTGTGTGTGTGTGTGTGTGTGTATTTATTTTGCAAAGTGGTGTAAATAGATTAAGCGATTAATTAGCAACATCTCACATCTTCATCACAGGTCATGTCAGTAATATCCCCATGAGGTCATATGGCCGGGAGGAAAAAGCAGATGATGGGTATGAAAACAATGCAAGTTACTTGTTTTTTTTTTTAATAAGTAGTACGATTTAAGCACCAACATTCTGGGTACAAAATAAAGTCATATTTAAGCACCATCAGCAATCCAGCAATAAAGCGGTACAACTGTGTAGCAAACACAGGCACGTCTGAGTGTGAGTTTGGGCCTGCAGACAAAACTGCCTTTTTAAAACCACGCCGACACATTTATATTTGCCCAGCTCCAGCGTCTAAATGTCAGCTGAGAATGTGTGGACACTTATAAAAAGACACGGAGAGCCGTAGCCGTGTAGCTTGCAGCTGTCCTCGGCTCCTTTTGTCTGAATTTGTGGGAACTACGCGTCCGTCGCTTTAAAAGCTCGGCCGAACCAAACTAAACTTTGCCTTCTTGGACTTTTCGGACATGTCGTCCTGCCCGCCCGGGGAGCAGCTCCGGACTCGGGCCGACGGAGGAGGACTGTTCACCCCCGGAACCCTCCCGCTCCTGCCCCAGACATTCTCAGACAGTTTTCTTAAAACATTTCCAGACAAAAGAGAAACAAAAATGGCAGCCTTATTTTTATAAGGCGGGACGCCATATTCTGCAGACCCCAATTTTTTTTTTTTTAGGAGCGTGTACCATAATAAGGTGCTGCGGATTTTTTTTTTTCCTTCAAAAATAGGAGCAACACACAAAGGTGTGTTTATCACGTCAACGGCGTGAATGATTGTTTACGGCGAATTGCAGGTTTGAATAGCCCGGCCTCCTCACCTCTTAAAAAAACTGACACTTCCTACAACAACCATGCCCTGCGAAGAAGAAAAAAAAAAAAAAAAAAAAAAAACAGCACGGAAACGGACAAGCTGGACTCATCACGCCGATTCAAAGAGCACATTGATGCCGCTAAGGTGCGAATACTAAAAGCAAACAAGCCCTTTCACATCCCGAGAAAACGCTTAGCCGTGTTAAGAAAATTTCACTTTTCTTTCCCCCCCACATTCTGTAACTTTTGGGCGAATCAAAAGAGGGAAATCACATTTTGTGCACAATTGTAACGCGTCCGGGACGCGATCCTCCAACAGAGCAAACGCTTTAGCAGGGCAAAACACGCACACACACCGAAATAAGACATGCACAAATTACCTTGTGTCCTGGCTGCAGATATTGTCTTGCGAGAACAGCTATAATATAAAAGGTTGATGTTCTGTCTGCCTCCAGTCGGACCACCGCTTCCGGGTCGCTTTGTTCACTTCTGGGTGCTTCTGCAAGGCTCACATACAGCGGCTACAGAAAGGAAATCTGCTAATGTTGCTTTGGATGTTTTTTTTGTTTGGTTTTTTTGTTGTTTTTTTTTTTAACCTCACAGCTCACCTTGTTCATGTTTGCTGTGCAGTGCTTGCCAGGTGAAAAGCGTAGCGATATTTTAAGGCGTATTTATCCACCACATACGCACCGCAACAATATCCCCGGACGCTACAACATGGAGCACTCCATTACAACAAAATGTATGGCGTGCTAAATTATGCTGCAATAAAATACGGGTTTCACATTATTAGCAAGTGAATTTGCACAATGCCTTGTGAATAGAGGACAGGACAGGCTAGCAGAGAGTGGTGGAACTGAATGGAACTTCAAAATAAGCCAGTGAAAATATCACTATAGAGATTTTACTGTGCTTCTTAAATACAATTTAGGAAAAAAATAAATAAATAAAATTTACAAAAAAAAAAACAAAAAAAAAACGCAATATTACAGCTGTAAATGCAAAGTGGTGCTAGGTTTCATTCGTGTTTTAAGAATAAATAAAAAAAATAAAACAAGAAAACATTGGGGGTGGGGGAAATTACATCTGAAATTTAGAGGAGTATCTAGGTCATGCTGCATGTGGAAGATAAACAGTTTGAACAGAGATGTCCTACTAGGGGCCATTTGCAGCCCCTGGAATGGATTTGTGCTAATTTGTGATTTCATTTTTAATTATATAGTGCGGTTTTACACATTTTGGCTTGTTAGAAATGCAAACTTTTTATTTGTTGTGATAAGATGACCCAATTTAATTTTGAGGACGAACGGTGATGATACACGGTTTGCAAATTGTACTTATTTTCAAACCCCATTACTCTGATTCCCATGTATTAAAATCCATTCAAAACTGCCTTCAGCAGTAAACAGTTGGTAAATGGAGTCCCATCATTTGTAATTAAATTTTACAAAAATCAAGTGGTTCTGTGAGGTTTTCTCAGAGAACATCTAAAGTTGTTTAATCCCTAATCTGGAAATGAAAGGAGCATGAAAAACTGCAAAACTCCACCAACACACAACAGTCCGCTTAACGAAAGCATGCAGCCAAGAGGCTTGTGGTAACTCTGGAGGAGCTGCAGAGATCCAGAGCTCAGTTGGGAGAATTTGTCATCAGGATAAGTTTGTTTCAACACACAAATCTGCCCTCCTTCTTTGGAATTACGAAAAAGGTTTTTCACAAGCCATGTCAGACATACAGCAAACTGGTAGAGGAGGGTTTTCTGGTGAGACCAAAAGAGAACTTTATGACTTATGCATGCCAGAAAATTAACACTTACAGCTCATGTCATCATGAGTGCTGTGGGGATGATTTTCTTCTGCAGCGACAGGGACTCTGGTCAGTTTTGATAGGAAGATGGATGGAGATGAATACAGTGTTGTCCTGGAAGAAATCCTCCCAGAAGCTGCAAAAGCTTTGAAAAACTGGGGCTGGGGGTAATATTTGAGCAGGACAACGTTAAACATACAAACGGAGCTTCAATGGAATTACATAAATCAAAGTACATTCATGCGCTAAAATGGCCCAGTCAAAGTCCAGACAACTGAGAACCTGAGATAATGCTAGAAAATTGATCTGGATTTAAAAGGTAAGCTTTTAGTTTGCAAAAACATTTGAAAAAAACAAACAAAAACTTAAACTATGCATTCTTTTGTAATGGTTGATCATGTAAAATCCCCCCAAAATTAACTAAAGGTTCTGGTTTTAACTTGACAAAAATGGGAGAAAATTCACCAAGAATTATCACTTTAATGTAATCTGCATTAAAGTGTACTGAAACTGAGGTAAGATTTTTCTGTTTGCATTTGCGCCTCTATAAGGAATCTTAATTTTAAACGAACTTCTTTTGATTCTCACAATGAGCCCTCTTTAAAAATACTTTTCCTCTTCTTGGTTTGAGTCCAACTAACAGATTTACATCAAAGTTGCTAAAGTTCTACAGTGTGTGTCATTCCTCCCTTTGTACTTCAACCAACATCTGCTAGACTAACCACTTTGTATCTTTCACACATTATTCCTACACATGTCAGCAATTAAAGATTCGCTGGAACTGTGCGAAGCCACTGGTTGGAGGAACTGGTGTGTTGCTCTGAACGCTGTTGTGTGTGCGCACGAACGTGTGTGTGTGTCAGTGGAGGGGAAGAGGAGGTGTGTGATCTCATTACGTTTCCTGTTTTTTTCACAACACTTCTCTCCAAAGAAGTGACAGCCCTTACGCACAAATATGCAAGAACACTCAACAGTCCGGCTTTAGCAGCCTGTTGGAGTCAGATTCAGGAAATCTGATGAGTTACAGTCAGAATGCCTCATCCTGTTAGTTGACTCGCTGAGACCAACAGCACACAGAGACGACTAGATAACCCTCACTTTTTAATTTATTTATCATTTTTCATTTAAAAACAGAGCTAACTTTCTTGCACTCTGGGCTCCTGATATGGACATTGTGTGGGTAAGTAATCCAGACTTTGAATTATTTATGGATCGTGTGCTGGTTTGATAAGAGGGATGATTTTATTTCATTTTTGCACTTGGTTATCTTTTTCCAGAGTTTTAAGAAATGTGTTCTTGAACGATGATGAATCACAAGATAGCAATGAAATACACGACTTGGTTTTGAGTTGTGATTCAAGAAAGTGTGAAAAGCTCAGCACTTCATTTTGATTTCAAGACGGTGTGGTTCAATCTGACTTGTTAGACTGAATGTAGTTGGGCTACGTGTTGAATTTCGCCTATAGAATCTAGGTCAGTGGTTACCATCTTTTCACTTTTTCACCGGGAAAAAAAAAAATCACAGTAGTGGAGATTTGTACAGCCCAACTAAACCAGTTACAGAGTTATAACTCAAACAGTCCTGACCTATTTATCGGTTAGCTAGTTTTCGCTTTTATATTAACTGTCCTTTTTGTCAGGTTTTTGGATAAATATGTCCTGTTATGATCAACTGGATTTTAGAAGATCCTCTGAAGTTAACGCTTTGCTGATTGATCCATTGGAGAGCTGACTCGTTAAGAAGTGTGAGATGTACTTTGAGGGCAGTGATCTGAAATGTGCGTCTCGGGAGCAACATTTGGCCCTTTAGGTTCTCCAGTTTGGTTCTTGATGGCATTCAGCCCAAAACTGTTTACGTCATTGACAGATGTAGATGTTACATTGTTTTCGTTTAACCAAGAATTTAGTTTGAGATGATAAATGAATGAGGTATCTCCCAAAAATATGTTCAAGAATGTGATGGGAGTAGTCTAATGATTGATCACTTACCCTGAAGTTAAGTTTTTCTTGGGACCTGTGGGTCTGGAACCACAACTGCAATTGAACTAAGTACTGGTTTTCGATATAAAAGCAATACAAATATATTTAATAGATTTTATAGGTATTGGTTTAAGCAATACCTGGGCTGAATTTACAAAACAGAACAGCACAAATAGGAAAGACAAAATTTTTTGTCATTTTACAGTCAAGCTACAGATGTCCTTTTTGTTTTTCTCCAAGTCCATGAATAAAAAAAACAATGCATTCATTCTCTTAAAAGTTTTTGTTCTTTATTTTTATTTCTTTTTTTTTACCAAAGCACAAAAACACTATGGGTCTTCATAGAACAATTTTATATAAATAGAATCTGGTAAGCTATAATCAGCTGAATGCAGGCTGGCTACCAGTGCAGACAGCACGACTAATTATCCAGCTGATATGAACTTTTATGAAGCTCACAGACTCCCACACTTTCTCTATTGAGAGAAGACATGTATATTCAAAGGTTTTTTTTTTAGCTCTGCTGGCCTTTATTTGATAGTGAATTTACAGGAAGGAGGTTAATAAAGAGAGGGGGAAGACGTGCGACAAAGGTCATCAGACTAGGACTCGAACCTGTGACGTCCGTGCCAAGCACTACGGCCTCCAGACGTGGGTTGTGCTTTACCCCTGCACCACACAACGTCCCAGAGAAGATATAATTTAGTTTTCTGTGCAACAAGCACCTAAAAAACTAAGTTTAGATAAGAAAGCGTGAACTGCTGTATTTACTTGAGGTTTTCACACCGTGAGAGTCACATCCTCACCCAAGTCATTTACTACGCAATTGTTTCCTAGGAAGCATGAAGTCAAACAAGATGCTGGTTCAACTGTGCGTCTAGGTACCAGTAGAGGCTAATTAGGTTGTCGCAGCCCAAAGAGGAGTGTTTTAATGTATGCAGTGACGACTCTTTGTTTTGAAATGCTTCCAGAAACTGACTGGGGAGTTCTGTTGATGTTTCAGTAAATCATTAACATCTTTAATAATCACAACCCACGAGTACTGATTCAACTTGCTGCCCACAGGCTCAGCTGCTCGCCTCTTTGTGAAGTCTTTTTCATGTCGGCCCAAAAACTGCCTTAAGATAATTCTTACGTCTTTTTAACTCTTCTGGGATACAGTGGCCCTGAACTATAGAGCCACATGTCTTGTTTCTATGGGACTTGTTGACTGGGACTATCTGCAGCAAGATGTCTGAGGACTTGGTGGCTTTTACACCACCTCCAGAGATTACACAAACCTACTGTGATAAAAGTGCCTCACAGTGATGGGCATCTTGATATAAAAATCTCAGTCACAGTTAAAAAACATAATTAAACCTAGTCATTTGTTTTGTTTTTGTTTAAATCTTTAACATGTTTCTCCTGACTGGAAGCAATATAAACATTTTGGAGCGGCCGAGTCAGAGTCCTGAAGCTGGTAGACAGTCTAATGGTGATGGAAATGAGTCGAGGTCATCGCCAGAGACCAGTCGTCAAATATAAGTGAAAACATAAAAAATGCGTTTTAATGTGTTTATTTGGATTTCTTGGTCATCGTAAAATCCTGGTGCGTGATCTTCCTAAATTCCTGAGGCTCAGTGATGTAGTAGATCAACAGAATTTGAGTTTACGTTGCTTATGAGAAAAATCAACCCTGAAATCTCATTTTCAATTTTGTTTCAGGCTGTTTCACTGATACTTGCCTTCATGTCCACCAGACTGAGTCTCATTGAGGCGACAGGGCAAGACTCACAGTGCCAAGCTGGTAGGTTGTTACTGCAAAATCCAAGTCTGGGATTCTGTACACAAGTTACCAATCTGTACAAGTTCAGCTTCTGCTTCTTTTGTTGTGTTCTCAGGATATTATAAAGATTCTAAAGATAATTCCTGCAAGCTGTGCAAGGAGGGCACATTTACAGAGATAAACAACACTCTTTCGTCCTGTAATCGGTGCGATTCTTGTAGTAAGTATCTTCAGTCATTTTATGAGACATTAGGAAAACATATGAAATGTGAGAATATTTTAAATGAATCAGATGGACAGTATTTTCAAAAAAGAGCATTTAATGTCTGCTATATCAAAAATAACCTGTCTATTTTTTCAGATCGGAGGGGAGAAAAGAAACCATGCACAGCTAACCGCAATACGGTGTGTAAATGCCCTACTGGACACTATTCAAAACATGGCGGCTGCCGGAGTTGCTCTGAAACCAGTGAGTCAAGTCAGACCAAATGTCCTCCCATTTTATTAAAATCAACTCTTCAAAAAAAACAAAACAAAACAAAACAAAAAAAACAGAGAAGCAAATCAGAAAAAAAAAAATCTAATCACATGTTTTCCAGATCCCATCAACATCAGTGAAGATTATTATGATATGTGTCAGTCCATCCAAAGGTAAGAGATGCTGCATTTAAGGACACTCAGGCATGGTGAAAATTATCTCAGTTGTCCAGTTATTTGCTTGTTAACAGCCTTTTGCCAATCTGAAAATAGGAGAACATAAAGACATTCAGTTTCTTTAAATGTAATGCAATTGCTTGGTCATGACAGCCCTAAAAAAATAAGCAAAGTTGGCAATGCTTAAATATGAATAAATAAATAAATAAATAAAAAATAAAAATGTTACCATTCTAAATAGTGTTTTTTTTTTTTAGAAATGTTTATGAAAATGAATAAATCAATACAATTATACAACAGGTAAATAACTCATGAAAACCGTTTGTGATGACTGAAGTCAAATTATATACTTAGTAAGTAGACATATATCATATATATGTATATATATGGCTCATCTCTTTGAGGACAACCAGTTTCTGTGGTTTAGTTGGGGCCCTGCGGTGCCTGGGTTGTACACCGTTTACTGCAAATGTCTCGGTATGCAGGAAGCTTTGATAAGATTGATAAGGATTCACACTCAAGAGAACTGCTCTAACTCTGTGCTTCAACAGAATGGGTTGATAGCTTTAGAAATAAAATGTCAAACATGACAGCATCGTGCCTTTGCACAGGCACTTTTATGGTTACGTCAAAAAAGTTTCCTGTTGCTGACACTAGGCTTCAAACGTTTGAGCTGGGTCAAATTCGGTGGCCAACTCACCTTATTCTATATGTTTTTGTTACTTTCCTTAGTGGGAAACGATGCAAAGTCGAAGACGGAACTGAATACTAGTATTTAATTAATGCTGGGAGAGATCCACTTGCTTTACTCTGTTCAAACCTCATTAGCTTCTGGATGTATTTAATATATCTGGTTGAGTATATGTGCTGCTTTTGACTCTTGACCATTCTTACTGAACACATAATGAGAAAGTCCTGTAAACAAAAGAAATTACTGCGCACAATAACTTTAATTTGAATGTAACTGGATCAATTATTGGCTCCATTTGAATAATTACAAAGTATATATGCAATTATATATTAAATATGTATATCTATGCATATGCACATAGGTTTCCATATATATAGGAACCTATTTGATACTGCTGTTAAACCTGAATTTCCTCCTCTGTGGAATAAAGCAACAAAGACTAATTTTATTTCTATTGTAGCCCGCACTCTACGAAGCATCCAGGATCCAAGCAAACTCTTCCCATCTTAGCTCCATCTGAAGTTCAAACAACGACTACAGAAAGTAGGTGAACACTCCAGAAACATCTATTATTTTATGCATATCTTCAGAAATTGTTTTAATGTACAACTAAAAACCATTAGGGTTTTTTTTACCTATTGGAAAGGAAGTTCTTCTGCGTGTTCAGGTGAGGTTCAGGAACATGTGCTGTATTTTTATGGCACTGCACCTTTTTCTTTTTGCACTGTGATTGAAATTCTGTGCCTCTCTTTTCCTAGCTAAACCTTTGACTACCGCGTCGACTGCCAGCCCAACTTCACTGTCAAGAAGACCGACTCTTTCCACCACACTAAAAACATCAAGTCCAACTATCGAGAAAGTGCCAAATCAATGTTAGTTACAACGATGTATTTCAACCATAAATTCCATTATATCTGAGTGTAATTTGTAGCATTAGCTAACTCTGTGGCCGTAGTTTTGATGAGATCGATATAGCCTGAACTTTTTGCCTGTATGTTCTGGGATTGTGGCTGGGATTAAAGAACTCATGCCAGTGTTTTGTTTGGCTTTGCTCTTTTTCCAACAGATAACCTCTTCTGGCTTTCTGCTTTGGGGGCTGTTACATCTCTGTTGCTCTTTTGGTTCCTGCTGCTCTTCTGCAGGAGCCTGCACAGAAAGGAAGCTGTTCTTCCCTGCTTGAACAAACAAAAATACCTGCAAGCACTTCCTCAGGAACCAAAATTGGACGGTAACCACACGGCGATTGCAACTCAACAAATTGAATCGAACGCAGCAATACCATGATAATTTCACTGTTTACCCCCCGACATTGTACGACAACTTGATTCTAACATTGCTTTGATGAGCTATAAAGTTCTTCCTTTTTTATTTGGGCTTGGATCTCACAATTAGAAAACCTAGGATTTTTTTTAAAAAGTGTGAAAAAGAAGTAGAAGAAAACAAGGCAGATAGGAACATGTCAGAGGTTTTCTAAGTGTGACGGTTTGACTAAGCGCACAAAACTCCAACATCAGTTGATAACATAGTGAGCACCTCTAAAAAAGAGTGAAAGCATAGTCTCCAGTTTCGGTGAGAGTTCAGAAAGCAAATATCGATACGGTAATTTATTCATCAAGGAGGAGGGAATTAGGAGAACCCTGGCACCTCATCCAGAGGTTTGTGGTCTCACATTTTTACACATAAACAGTCTGTGTTTTACTTGTGAGGGTGAAGCGTCAAAACGTTCGTCCAAGAACAATGTCTGCTGTCCCACTCAAACCCTGAAGGCCCGTCTGCATTTGCTTGTCTCACAACATTAAACATTAAAAGTCTCTTTGAGTTGAATCTGCCCAGAATTTGAAATCCTTACATCCAGTTAGACGTCATCTCAAACAACACCGCACTTCGACGCTGAAGTGCATTTTCAAATGAACTGCCTTCTTTAAGAGAAATAAAATAAAAACTAGAGCAACTTTGAATGCATGTGCTGCAAAAATTTGTGACTTATCTGTGGCTAAAATGTGATGAAACGTGCCCTTTGATAATCTAAGCATGTCATAGTTGCATTGGAAATGCCAAAACATTCACGCCCTTCCATTTAGCTTGACTGTTTTGTAAGCACTAATGCATCATTTCATAATTCTGAACAAATACTTAAAAATACTAACCAATAAAAAAAGAAGAGTGAGATTACAGACACTGGTAGCATTATTTCTTGTTTTTAAACACATTTTTTTTATTATAAATATGTCGAGATATATGCAGGAAACTAACAGATATCATCTGCTTTTCTCCTTACAGAAGAACGTAGTCATCACTGTAGCAGCCCAACCACACAGGTTTGTGCTCTCTCTCATGATCTTTATCCTCTGTTCACATAACAGTACAGCACATACAGTTGCAGCACTGTAGGTGGATGAAAACTGATCTTAAAACCACTCACTCACACACACACACACTCAGAAAGGTCAAAAGAAACAACAGTGAAATGGCGATAAGCATCTCTCTGGTGTAGTTACCAAACATTTGCGACAAAGGCCAAAGATAATTTGCCTGTATTGAAAAATCACGGAGGAATTTTGCTATTCGGAGAGAACGCCGGGGGAGTTGTGTTTGACTCGTTGCTGTTTGTTCTTTCCAGACATTCACAGTTTGTGAGGAAATTCCCATGATGCCTCTCTGTCAGGAACCACCTGCTCACATCAGGGGCCACGTGCTGCACGGTCATCACCCGGGTAAGGTTCATCATTTGGTTCCCAGCACTAATTTCACTTCTTCGGACTAGTTCGTTGCGCTCTGCGTACTGTGGCCCCGACCAAATAACCTGGACGTCGGAGGACGATTTTAGTGCCACGACGCATCCCAGAAGACCAGAGAGAAACTGGTTTACTTACTGTTTGTTTTACTCATGAAAACGAAAAGTAAGTACAGATGACACCCACCTGGCGTGAACCTATCGGGCGTCATTTCATGACAGTGTCGCTGTTACTACGAGGGTTTTAACCACCAAAAAATGCTAAATGAGTCACAGAATAACATAAAAGCAACACATCTAAAAGAAAGGAAGCCACTTAAGGAAGTCAGCCCCCTTTCAGTTATACTCTCTATGAAGCTGGCCACATAATTATGGTGATCTGTTTGCCTCATCAACGAGAAAAAGTTACTTTCTCCTCGAAGAACTAGAGAGAGTTTCTCCAAAACAGATCAACTGAAACCTTCCATGAGGGATTTTGAAACCGTTTGTCTTAATGTTGATCATTGGGGCATGCCATTAGCAATGCATAAGGAGAG